GTTAATAAGTTAGCAAAGCATTGAAGACCCGGATAATTGTCATCCATAATCGCTTTGGTCTCTAAATTGGTCCAAATTTCTAAGGCTTTTGGAGAATTCAATTCATTGCATGAATAATAAAAAGCTAACGCATGATAATTATGGGATTTTTGTAGATTTTCTGTAACCCAATTTATATCCGCTTTTAGTTCACTAGTTGTCAACAATTTTAGCAAATTTTGGTAATAATCTTTGTTTTCAATGTAAAGACATATCAACGCACTATTGATTTCATTTTCACGATTTATATATTGTTGACAACGATTTACAAGTAATTCTTCGAGAAATTCCAATAGAAATACTTTATATTCATTATAATCTTCGCTCTTATTATCGATTATAAATTGGAAATCATTGACAAAATACTTCACACGTGTCTCGAGTCTGAGATTAGAGGGAAAACAATCGGGATATAAGTCGAGTAACTCAAGAATATCTGCATTTGAATCAACAAATAGTTGTTTCGCTTCTTCGAAGTGTTTGAGAGACAACTCAATGAAAGCCGAGTCTCTCTTCACATCTAATAGTATTTGGTTGTAGTTTTGCTGAGAGAGTCCGGCCTCTCGCCAGTTGTGACTTAAATCGAGCGCTTCTTTCACTTTCTTGAGCTGAAGAAGCATTTGGAGCTGTTTTGTCCACGGAATGGCTCTCAACTCATATACACTATCGGTTGTAGCAATTAATACACTGCCATCAAAGTTGTCTAAATATAATCCTCCGGTCAATGAAATGCGTTGTTTGAGTTGTTGGTCGACAACACTGTTATGTCGGACACAACTATAAGTAATGTTTAATGAGTTGAATAACTCTTACCTGAAAATAGAGACGAGAGAATCAGTGAGACATAAGATGTATGGATGAGAATACGCTATCGACACGATATCAGAGGACCATTGAATGGGCGGTCTCTCAGATATGCCCGTGTTTTTGACGAATAAGCCGAGAGCTGATGGACCGGATATAAGGAATTCGTGCTTGGTGATTCGCTTACACACCGGAACAGCTATATGTGAGTCACAATTGCACACGTCTTGGATATGCCCGGAATCCCAGTCGACAATCAAGTACTGGGAATCGGTTCCCACACATATGTATTGGCCGTCCATTGAAAGCGAGAGCACAAACTCAGGCAAAGAGATCTCTTTAATGGCAATAATCTTCTCGGAAGTCATATTATAGACAATGAGTTGTTTCCTTCGGGCGACGCATAACTCAACGCTAAACGGGTTGTTATTATTTGGGTTTTCGTTAAGACATAAAACGCTTATATTTTTCAATTTGTTTCCATAAGAAATCACTTCCAAATCGTTTTGATTTAAGACAATTAGCGTTGAATCGCAGACACAGAGAATGCGCTCAAGAATACAGACAACACGGATGGCAACGACCGGCTTCTTGAGTCCCAAGTATTTGAAGCGTAAACTCTCTTCGCATCTCTTCGTAATCGAGTTGTACTTCATTTCGATCACAAAACTCTCATTTGTTCCCAAATAAAGACTTTTAGCCCGAAATTCGATGCTTTCGATCTGACAATCAATACAAACAATACATTGAGATCACAGTTGGGATCAATTGATGGCATCATTGACTATACCTTAACCCTAACCCTCTCTCCGATCATCACTTTCTCCGCCACTGACCACAACTCAAACGCTTTGACACTCATTTCCAGGGATCAGACACTCGGGTGAAGATGTGATAAACCGGTGGTAAATGTATGCGAAGACTGATCTCTGGTCACACCTCCTAATACTTGTCGTCACTTTTGTTGACATTCAAAGTGATGTCGATTTGTGAGCAAAACATCAAAACATTGAAAACATTTTGCATTCAATTTATGGACAAAAATATTTTTGTTATAATTTATGGCAAAACTTGTATTTCAACACAAAATCAGATGTTTTGTAATGTTTTGAAAATTGATTTTTTTTGTTTCAAAAATGTTTGACTCAATCGTCAGATTCGCGCGTTTAATGTGATTATCATATGATTTAGACATATATTACAAGCCATTGAATCGATGGGAATGTCATCTAAACGTCTTCGAGAGGACATCGATGAGGAAGAAGACAATGGGAAGCGATTGTGTCGATCACATACTTATGACTCGCATTCAGGTGTGAAATGTTTGTCTCAATTCATGGCTTTCATTGATTGACACAATTATCTCTCATTTTAGTCTCATTTCGATTACCTTTTAATCAATTAATGATTTTGAGATCAAATAAAGTGACGCAAAGAACTGGTGACCAAACAATGGGTGCAAACGATGGCAATAACGGCGCGAAGAAGTGTTTCAATTGTGTTCAGCAAAAGAGGGATAAAGAGATGATTAGTTGTCATTTCTGTGAGAGAAGTGTTTGCGATGACTGTGTTATCAGTTGTTTTCAATGCAATCAATGCTTTTGTCGTTTATGTGCCGTTAAATGCTATCAAAACTCGTACCAAAACAACGCCGGAGTTTGTCTTTCGTGTAATTCATAGACTAGTCATTAAATCAATCGTTCATTCATTCAAATGGTGTTTAGTTTAGACAACAATTTTATTTATATTTCTAAATGTTTTTACAATTTTTTCATTTATTTTAAATGCATTTATGACTCAATTGTGTAAATAAT